AAAATTAATTGCCATGGCAATAACAGCTCTCCTATTGGTTGTAAGTAATTTTTAGTATCAGTTTTGAATTCTACAGCATAAATTATGTAATCCCCCCCAATTTTATAATAATAGCTCAAATAACCATGATTTTATTACTATTTTACTGAATCGCTACCCGCGAACTTTTGCTTGGGCCACACCCCTTTTTGATCAAATTTCTCAAAATACAAAGTCCGACACCTCGGAAACTAATCAAGCTACAAGTCTGAAATTTTGGATTTTGGCATGTCTAATGTTGCTTGTTATGTCCTCCAAATTTGAATAAAATCCAAGAGGGGTGGTGTCATTTTCAAAAATTTCTGGATGAATTGACATGGAATTACCCAGATAGTACATGATGAAACGCATGGGAAAATACTTCTAATTTTGTTGTCAAGGCAACGCAGTCGTTCCCAGGCCCCTTACACTGATTTTGAATAACTAGTTGCATTTATTTATGTGTATGTCATTTTCGAATTATTATCATGCAAGTAAACTTTTGGCATGCATAGGTATGGTACACATACTTCTCACATTATTTTATTCTTATAAGTACCATGAATAAAGCTGTTTTATAAAATTGGCGCAAGGGGTCTGGGAACAACATTGTTACCTTGGCAACAAAATTAGAAGTGTTTTTCAATGCGTCTCATCATGTACAATCAGTATCCAAAATTTCATTTGATTTGGTCCCATAATAACGGAGCTATGCTTCAGGTTAGTATTCATTAAACATACTTACCCAACCAATGACGTCACACGTTGTGCTGAATCAGCAATTTATATTTTGCGCATTTTTGCGTATAATTTTGGAACCAGATGAGATAGAATAGAGCAGTAAACGGCCAATCGGCTTATTTTTTCCTGCTCTTTCAGATAAAGCAATAAATTTTTTTATTGCCATTACCCTTTAAAAATGTCTTTTGGAATCCACATGATTATATTATGGTCCGATGGAGCAAAAATGTGGAGCAAAAATGTCTGGTGTTTTATAAAAGGGTTTCAAGTTCGTAATAATATAGTCTAAGATTGGATCTTGTCTAGTCAGGCGTGTGACGACTTGCTTAAGGTTGTGACCTATAACTAAATCCTGTATATTGAGATGAGTCGCCCAAAACGACTATGCCACAATCAGGGTATTTAGAGCGTATAGTATCAATAGAGGTCACAAGGTAATTGCAAAGTTCTCTCTGTTTTTGCACACTTTTGTCCGGTGGATTATACACTACACATACTGCGATGGCACATAACGGTCTCGGTAGGCGTGGTGGTCGAGCCCACGAGCACAATCACTCTAGATTTAAATCTTCTAATTCCAAGTATCGCGTGATGGGTATCTGCTGAGACACATAAACGCAGACTCCATCCCCACGGCCATGCGTCCGGTCCTTACGATGAATTACATATCCAACAATCGATATTTGATCGTCCCCTATCTCGTCAGTCAACCAAGACTCCGAAATTGCAACCATATGAACTTTGTTGACGGACATAAATGCTGCAAGTTCATCAACTTTCCCATTAATTGAGCGTGCGTTCAAGCAGCAAATTTTCTAGAGTATAGCTTTATTTTGCTTTTGGGTTTTATCATTATAATTATTTGTGCATGTAATACGGGTTAGATTGTTATAATTGACACCCCGCGTCCCCTTTACACGAGCCCGGGTTGACTATCAACCCGGGTTGGCTTGCCAGCCCGGGTCAACCCGCCTACGAATACATCTTTATTAGCATTTACACGATAGCCGGGTCAACCTTTCACACCTCGCCAACCCGGGGCACCCTAGCTTCTACGCGGGGTGTTAATTATAACAATCTAATCCGTATTAGATGCACAAATAATTATAATGATCAAACCCAAAAGCAAAATAAAGCTATACTCCCGAAAATTTGCTGCTTGAACGCACGCTCAATTAATGGGAAAGTTGATGAACTTGCAGCATTTATGTCCGTCAACAAAGTTCATATGGTTGCAATTTCGGAGTCTTGGTTGACTGACGAGATAGGGGACGATCAGATATCGATTGTTGGGTATGTAATTTATCATAAGGATCGGACGCATGGCCGTGGGGTGTGCGTTTATGTGTCTCAGCAGATACCCATCCACGCAATACTTGGAATTAGAAGATTTAAATCTAGAGTGTATGTGGTCGTGGGCTCGACCACCACGCCTACCGAGACCGTTATCTGCAATCGCAGTATGTGTAGTGTATAATCCACCGGACAAAAGTGTGCAAGAACAGAGAGAACTTTGCGATTACCTTGTGTCCTCTATTGATACTATACGCTCTAAATACCCTGATTGTGGCATAGTCGTTTTAGGCGACTCATCTCAATATACAGGATTTAGTTATAGGTCACAACCTTAAGCAAGTCGTCACACGCACGACTAGACAAGTTCCAATCTTAGACTATATTATTACGAACTTGAAACCCTTTTATAGAACACCAGACATTTTTGCTCCACATTTTTGCTCCATCAGACCATAATGTAATCATGTTGATTCCAAAAGACATTTTTAAGGATAATAATAATATGTGTACAAAGCGGACTGTGCGTCGGTATCCTCAGCCGGGTTTAAATGGCTTTGGTTCATGGTCAACCAGCTGGTTTAGTGGACTTGGATTCAATCCATCGTCGGATGAGTTAGCGTCATCTTTTACCAATAGTCTGAACACTGCAATCAAACTTTTTTTCTTTGTCACCACAGACATCTCGCGGCGATCCTGAGCGATCGACGGCTAGAAATTTCATACCTTCGGTTCAGTCCATGCTATGAAGACAGAAATACCACCAATCGATTCAGAAATAAAAGATCTACTAGTTCCAAACGATAGTTATAGTCATTATTAACATTGTAACGATTTATGGGCCTTTGAAAGTCAAACACGATAATATTGTATCAAATTACGCAATTGTCTGAACAAAATATAGGCATGTAGTAAAACACTGACTACCGGAACACCGGAACACCACCGGAACTCCGGAACACCACCATTTTGTTTGGGGTTAGAGGTTAGGGGTTAGGGTTGGGGTTAGAGTTGGGGGTTAGGGTGGTGGTGTTCCGGCGGTGTTCCGGTGGTGTTCCGGTGTTCCGGTAGTCAGTGTTTTACTACATGCCCAAAATATAGACTAGCCATACCTTTCGCTGAAAATAACTTCGGCCCCTTCGCACATATCGTCTTTGTAATAGTCTTGTTCGAATCGAACAGGCTCTCAAGCTGAATTGAGAGCCTGCATCGATGACTAATGAATTTGAATATCTGCCCGTAACGTTCGTTTTTCCAAATATGGAATGTCTATCCTTATATGGTGTTGTTTACAACTTTCGTGCAAACTAAATTTAGACCGTGCAAACTAAATTTAGACCGTACAGTTTATACTGTTTTTCGAAATAAAGATATTCAAGCAAATTCAAATGTTTTAAATACTGTTTTCTCAAAACAGAACATTTCGTGCTTTGAGATAAGAGGCCAAGACCAATTTGATCAGTTAATGTGTTTTTTATGCATAGTGCTAGCAGTTGACATATATAGAGCTCAGCGGAAATATAAATTATAGCATCTGACCTATGAGAATTTCGCGTCACGATTTGAGACGCAGATATTCAAATTCATTAGTCATCGATGCAGGCTCTCAATTCAGCTTGAGAATATATATATATATATATATATATATATATATATATATATATATATATATATTGGCGTTGTGCCTGACGATTGGAAACTCGCTAACGTTGTCCCTGTTTACAAACACGGAGAAAAAGCGGAGGTTGAAAATTACCAACCAATTTCACTACTGTCCCTTATATCAAAAACCCTCGAACGTTGTGTATTTAACAACATCAAACATCATGCTTATGATCAGATAAACCCTTGCCAAAACGGTTTTGTGCCGAAAAAATCCTGCTGACCAACCGATATCAACAAACGACCGTTCTTGGAGCAACGTCGAGGCCGCTTCCAGTAACATCAGGAGTGCCGCAGGGGTCCATCCTCGGTCCATTCAATTCAAGGATTGCTATATTCGCGGACGATACCAAGATCTTCAAGACCATCAATTCGATCTCTGATGCGTCTGCTCTACAGAATGATCTGTCAACCTTCCAAGAAAGCTCAAGCATTATTAACCTCGAATTAAATAACACCAAATGCAAAGTCTTAAGAGTCACCCGAAAGCACAATAAAATTACTTATCCATACAAACTTAACGATACCATCATAGAATGCACGGACTGTGAACGAGATCTTGGAGTTTAACATCTTCTACTCTGACTTGGTCTAAACAAGTTGACCACCTGTGCAACAAAGCCACCAAAATGCTAGGATATGTCCGAAGATCAACCTTAAACATCAAAGATATCACGGTTCGCCGCAGACTATATTTATGTCTTGTTCGTTCCCAACTCTGCTATGGATCTCAAATTTGGGCACCACAATCAGTAATCTTAATTAAACGCGTGGAAAGACTTCAAAGACGCGCAACAAAGTACATCCTGAATCTGCCCTTCCGTTGTGACACAACCTACAACCAGAGACTTGCACTTTTAGATCTCCTTCCATTGTGCTACTGGCATGAATTTCTAGACATGGTAACCTTCTACAAATTAACGCACGGCATCATGACCATTGACAGTAATTTAATGCAGTCGTCACCCAATAACAACAGAAGACAAACCAGGTCGTCTAATCCCAATCACCTGTCAATCACAACGGCACAATGCAAGACCACTACCTACCAAAGGTCATTTCTCAACCGAACAAAGAGACTATGGAACGCACTACCAAAACGTTTGACAAGCAATAACATTAGTTTAGGACAATTCAAAAACGGACTTTCAAAATATTACAAGTTAGCGTTGGAAGACGTTTTTAACGTTGATGATCCAAGGACATGGAAATCTATATGTTTGTCTTGTAACAAGTCTCGTAATCTGTCCTGTCAAATATCGTGTTGTTATTAGATTTATGTTCGTTGTATATTGTTGTATAGTATTAAAATAGTTATGGGGCCGCTGTAATTGGTGAAAACTGTTGCGTGCACCCTGCCAATGGAACACATATTATATGTTGTTGTAAATCAGTACTGTTAAATGTTGCATGTTACTTGGCAAAGTTAAATAAATAAATAACGAGTTGCCATGGCTAGCTTAATTGCCACTGAATACTGTATAATATCACATACAGAAAAAATACTAATTAAGTCAGTTGTTATCCCAATAGATGATTCCAGCTATAGACTCAATTTTGATCTGGGCAAGAAGAACAAAATCCATCAGCACAGCTAGAAAGAGTATGTTAAAATTAGTAAAATGTCAAAGTTTGGTAGCGAAATGTTGTAAAGTGCGGAAAATATAACCCTGCGAAATTTGCAAATTTTGTATTCATTTGTATTCCGCGCGGGAAAATGCACCACATTTGGGCGAAAAATGGTGCATTTTTCCGTGCATAATTTTTCAAATTTTGTAGAGCTATATTTTCCGAATGAAAACATATGAAAAATTCGTTTTATACAATGAGCTGTAAAGCGATTTTTGTGTCTAGCCCGTTTAGACGCATTCATATAGCTAGATTGCAATGTTTGTCGAATGAGCACAAACATTTCATTGTTCAGTATAGATCTACGGCGCGTGTTTTTAAACAATATATTTATAGTAACTATCACTGCGAAGAACTGTTCTTTTTACGCATTGAAACGTCGCTTCTGAGCAAAAGACTTTTTCGGATCTTAAAATTTAAAGGTAAGTCAGTTTTTTTCTTATAAAATAGCATCATGTCTTGAACTCATACATTCACATGTACAAATATATATACACCAAAATCCACTCTACTTTAGTTAGGCCGTTTTCTGTGACTTCGAAAAGTGCCTAGAAAACGATTTTCATTATAAGCATGTCTTGGAACTGAAATATTTTTACGGGAACTAACACTTTCGAACACGCTGAGTTCAAATCCGAAAACTTCCCGCACCGTAGACCCGCAGTTTTCTCACAAACTGCTATTTTATCTTCGCTAATTTCACAACAAATTTTTTCATTGTTCAACGACACGGATGGATGAAGACACGCGATTGCATAACTCAAAATGACTAATTCCTATGAACCATGCAGTCTCTACATTGAACAAAAGACCGGTTTTGCTCGAATTATTTTGAGTTATGTAATTTAATTTAAGCGTGTTGGACGTAAACAACATATCTTGTCTACAACTTTGGGAAAGGTACCGATATCGCTTTGTAAAATCCTCAGTTCTGGCTGTATCTCTATAAAATCACATGCAAGGACGTCAATGTTAAGTCATTGGGCTACATCTCTGGGATGAGAAATAATTCCTTACATGCGATCAAAATGTTTTATACAACGATGTAAAACGGTAATCGTATGGAATGGGTCAGCATTTCCATTTCCAACACAGTTTCCGAGATGTAATTCAAGAGGTAACTTATCATTGCATTTGAACTATTATATCAGTTTGTGTTATTCTGTGCGATAAGCGAATATTATTGGAAAGACGGCTGCCATATACGTACGTTGAAATCACCAAATAAACAGCTTATGCACACATTTCTCCACCTCGTCGTAAGTTTACAGAGCAGGGGCCGGTTGTATCAAGCCCGTTTAGCTTAAACGGTCAGTGGTTAAGCTCAAAATAGAAAGCGAGTTTATAGATTCATTCAACAACCAAACTAAAAGTTTTGAACCTTAATACAACTACATATCCAGTACATAATATTTAAGTTAACCGATTCACGAGAGATATATATATGTTATTTACCGGCTGCGAGGTCCGGATGAGAAAAACTGTGCCCGAGGTCTTGAAAACGGCCCGAGCCCGAAGGGCGAGGGACGTTTTCAAGACCGAGGGCACAGTTTTTCTCATCCGGACCGACGCTGCCGGTAAATAACGTGTTTATTTTTTATCAGATGTAAAAATTATATTGATTAAAATTCCAGTGTTGCTTGCGAACTAATTTGAGATCAGTGCAGTTGTGTATTTTCAAAGCGAGGCTGACAAAAATTGAAATTTGAAAAGTTGAATGATATAAAACACGATACGAAAACTCGAGAAAACTGGCAAGAAAAAGACGTATAGTTTCAGTAAAAATGTACATGCTTTTTTCATGAATATGGTGATAGAAGAGAAGCTTTGGAATAAAAACTTTTATGCCTGGCGTTTTGGCTTTGGCTTTGACAAAATCAGTTGCTCCTGACAACGACAAGTTCATGTTCAGATCAGATCAAAAACATATAAAAATGAATCTGTTTTGATTTAATCAACGTTTTTCTACTAAAAGGTCAATGAAAAGGGTATGTTGTTTTTATATTTTTGTATTTTTTCTTGTCGTTTCACGATAATATGCTTGAAAAAATTGTTTTTAATTTAAACACAAACTTTTACTTTGTTTACAATATTTATATCAGTGAAGAATGTATGACACAAATGGGTAGAGAATATATTCGTGACTTGTTTTCACTGCTGCATTAAAACTTTTTTAAATGGGAAAACATTTATTTTACAATAACTGTTTAAGCTGTAATTTTTTCGCTTTTAAGTGGCCGAATACATGAGCATTTAAAAAGATGTAGTTTTCTCGACGTAACTTTTATACATGTCGAATAATTTTCCGACTTTCACATAAACCTTCAGCCATTTTGGCACACTAAATTGTACTTTTTGATTCAACCGTAGTAAATTCTTGTTGTGCTTTTCGTAATAGTTTTGTAAATATTCCCGCGCTGTTCTGCTCATTTCACTGCAATGTCTATCTTTGTAACCGTAACAATCTTCAACTGTGTTCGTGTTTAGTGGGCAGTACATATGTACTCTCGTGTCGTACCTAGAAAAGAAGATACTCTATCAGTGTACATGCATATTGAGACCGCCAAAATAAAGCTTGCATGTGAATCACATCCAGAACAATCACTGCGTTGGTAACAGAATCGGATAATGCATTTATACCACTTGCTTTCGATTCCTGCAATTCAATTCTAACTTGCAGTCACACGTGGGAATTTTGGGTTGCTCTAACAAATCCACAGATTTGGGTGGCAAAAAATAAAATGAGTGCTATGGACAGCGGAGGAAACTACTGCCTGAAATCGCCAGAAAATGGCCCTTTTGAATTCGTATTAAGCCAGTCACAGTAAATGAAAACGATAATTTTTAAAGCTCTATCGAAGTAAACTTGGGGAAAACTAGACGGCTGATACGTGGTGCATATTTTGGCTTTTGAATATGCTAGCAATGGTACCTTAGCAGCTGATTGTAGTTGACAGGCTTTTCAATATTGACAAAATCTTGAATATTATCAAGTACAGTTCGCGTGTGATTTATTAAGTCGTCATCGCTGATAATCATAACCTAAAGAGAAAGATCGTTGAAACAACCTTTTCTACATGAAAGGCTTACAGGGTTGGGAAGACAGGGTGAAATAGGAGTATAAGCTAAATACTCTATGCATGTGACATTACTAACATTATGCCTTATTAGTTACAATCGGACCTCTATTACACGACTACCATCGGGGTTCGGCTTTGTGGCCACTTATAATGGACGTGACCGCTGAGGATATATTCCTGAGATCCACAACGTTCTTGGGCGCGTAACTCCCAGGGAAATTGACTGGTAGGCCGAAAATTCGCCGTTCACTGGTGTAACCTGATTAAAGTTTATAGCATGTTAAAATTAAAGTTTCCTCTTATTAATGTTGGGATCCGTACTAGGGGCCATCCGTACTAGGGGGGATCGCGTTATCCTAAATACCTGGTAAATATGGATCAAAATACCTATTATTATGGTCAAAATGTTACAAAATACCTAAAACAACCAGAAACTGTATACCTAATACCCAAAATTAGTCATAACATTTAATGGGGTTAGGGTTGGGGGTTAGGGTTGGGGTTAGGGTTAGGTGGTGTTCCGGTGGTGTTCCGGCGGTGTTCCGGTGGTGTTCCGGTGTTCCGGTAGTCAGTGTTTT